CGGGGCGGAGCGTCGCATTGCCCCGCCCGCCTCCCTCAGGCTGGCGTGCCTGCCGATTACCGAGCGCGTCGACCGCTGCCTTTCTCCCCGCCGGCGGCCGCGGCGCGGCGCTTGCCCGTCGCCACCCGGACCAAGCTCGCGAGCGCGCCGGGGCCGCCATTTTCAGTCACCATAGTGACGGGGCTTGGCAACGCGGGGACGCCGGGAGGCCTCGGGCCTCGCCCTGCACCCCGGCGTGAGCCGCCGGCCTTCCCGCCGCCCGCCCTTTGGGTCTTCTCCCGTCAGCCCTCCACATACTCCCGTGGGGTTCTGGACCCAGCCCCGCCTTGATCCTGCCTGGCGGGGGTGCGTCCTGCCAGCATGGCCGGCGAGGGAGACAAGAGGAAGCGGTTTATTTCAGCCACGGCTGCTAACTACTTCGGACTGGATCCATCTGTGGGTCCCGCTGCCCTGGCCGCGGGGCTCCATTCCCGCCCGGAGCTGACCAACTTCCTCGACGACGGCAATGAGTTCCTCCTCGTGGTGCAGCGCTCGGGCACCCAGCTCACCGCGTCCAACAAGGTACGGCAGCGTCAAGCTGAGTGTGTGCAGGCACCTATGGATCCAGCGTGTCCACCCCATCCCAGTGTGCGAGTGGGGATGCAGAGCCTGGGGTCCAGCCCAGGTTTAGTGGTCGTAAAACACTGGTATCTGATTTGGGAGACATCTTCCTACTGCAAATATCTATGCGGGTCTCAGTGTCTGCCGCATAAATTACTGGCCCAGGAGTCTGTGAAGACCACATGGTCAGCTGTGCCATTGTCCTGGTTTCAGCTGGGATAGAGTTAATTGTCTTCCTGGTAGCTGGTACAGTGCTGTGTTTTGAGTTCAGTATGTGAAGAATGTTGATAACACTGATGTTTTCAGTTGTTGCTCAGTAGTGTTTAGACTATAGTCAAGGATTTTTCAGCTTCTCATGCCCAGCCAGCGAGAAAGCTGGAGGGGCACAAGAAGTTGGCACAGGATGGAGCCAGGGCAGCTGACCCAAACTGGCTAACCGGGTATTCCATACCATGTGCCGCCACATTTTTATACACATTTATCATGTGTATAAACTGGGGAGACTGGGGGCGGAGGGATCGCTGCTCGGGGACTAGCTGGTTGTCGACTGGCAGGTGGTGAGCAATTGCACTGCACATCATTTGTACATTCCAATCCTTTTATTATTGCTGTTGTCATTTTATTAGTGTTACAGTTATCATTATTAGTTTCTTCTTTTCTGTTCTGTTAAACCATTCTTATCTCAACCCACGAGTTTTACTTCTTTTCCTGATTGTCTCCCCTATCCCACTGGGTGGTGGGGGAAGTAGGTGAGCGGCTGCGTGGTGCTTAGTTGTTGGCTGGGGTTAAACCACGACAGTCATATATTTCTAGTGGATCGTGCCCATGCTGATATGTAGTTTCAGTGTGCTGTATGTATATTGTTGCTGCATGAACGTAATGCAGCCTGGAGAATGGCATGCTCCCTTGCTGCAAATGCCAGGTGGAGTCTGATGTATGGGTTGTTCCTGGGCAAGGGTGCATGCAGGTGACTGGAAGGCTTGCGTTGCCAATGTCTGTGCAGAAAACGTGGCCCAATATGTGGCACGTTCGATGGTATTTGACAGGTCCCATGGTGGGTGTTTGTCCAAATCATGCATTTTGCAGATTGATGTGTCCAGCTGTGAGCAAATCTGAGGTTCATTGTGTGAAATGTCCTGCTTTGAGTGTTTGTGTCAGTGAGTGACTCATCCGAATGATACTGTTGGGTGTGATGTCCAGTTAATGTTGCCATGTAATCAGGACATGGTGTGGTGCCTGCCACACAGAGTGTACAGGCAAAGTGTGGGTCTTGACGTGCGTCCCATCATTCTGCTGTGAGACCAGGGATGTGGTGTCTGTTACGCCAGTGACAGGTTTTTTCTGCACTGAAGACTAGTGTAATGGGTCGTTAACATGTGATCTGCCATGTGGACCAGTAACTTACACACCTCCTGGTGTAATCATCTGTGTAGTCTGTGAAGTCTAGTGCATGCTATGTTCATGCAAGAATGAACATTTACATGTACCAGTTTTTGGATTGTGCTGCTGAGACACTGTCTAATATACAAAGCCACTCTCAGCAGCTGTGGAAAATCGGATGTGTATCGGGACTATAATATATACCTGTTGCCTCAGTGAAACAATGTCTTTATGTGCTAGGCTAAAGACTTGGTAAAAAAGTAAAACTGCTACTGTCCAGTATGATTGAAAGCTGTTCTTACTAGCCCTCTGTTTCTTTTAACAGAAAAAAAGTTCACAGATGTTTACAATTGCAAAGAATTTGGGATTTCAGCTATTTTTTGCTATTTTGCTATTGTGTTATTAAATGTTTAATAGTGTTCTCCTGTTTTATGAATTCTCATCAGCCACAGGTAGTTTCAATAATTGATTTTATGGCAATTTTTGGAAGTTTACCCATAAGTTGGACTGTGAAGGGAACAAGAGTCATGTTACAACTTATGATTTTACAGGTGAAGGACCATGCCTTTCTCTGTCCTTGAGAAATCTATGAATTGCAATAGAGTTATGTATTTACAGACTCAGGAGAACAATACTGAATATTTAGAAAAATATTCCTGAAGGTATGTAGCATAAAAATGCCACAAAAAATACAGACTTGATGCTTAGTTTTCTCTAGGCACAACGTAGAGGTTCTGGTTTGTCCCCAGAAAGTGTAAGTGGAGTTTTCAAAATCAAAATAGCGTAAGTAATTATGGTATTTACAGATATTTTATAAAGAAAAAGGCATTACATATTTGATATTGGAATTCAGGTTCCCATGAACTCAGGAATGAGTATAATAAAAGTTTTCATTTTCTGTGCAAATCGGATACTACCAGAATGTTATCAGAGCCCATAGGGAGTAACATGGTATTTTACAGTTTTTTCTTGATGTAAATAATTTGTGTAATGGTGTACGTAATTTATTATAATATGTAGTCAATGACAGTTTGCTAAACAAATCCTGTCTTCTTGATTATTACAGATTGAAGCTACTGATTCAAAGAATAATGTGTTGGTGTTCTTTAAGCTGCGACCTGATGTAATTACAGAAGATAATCTTCATAGTAATATTCTTGTGTCATCTATGCTAGATTCACCAATTAACACCCTTTATCAAGCTGTACGGCAAGTTTTTGCACCAGTATTACTGAAGGTGAGCAATATACCAATTTAAATGTTCTGTATATTTATACTGAAACATTGAAATTTCATAGGTTGTTAATTATTCTGAGATAAATACTTCATGTTTTAAAAGTAAAATATTTTAAGAGCTTAAATAATGGATGATAGTTCTAATTTCTACTTCACCTCCTATCGGTAAGGATGAGAGGAGGATTCTGGTCATACATATGCCTGACTCTATAGAAATATGGAATACACTGAGCAGTGGTGGTTAATGGAGACAACAGCTCCTTACCTCCTTTCCACCAGTAATTCGAGTCTTGTGTCCTTTTCTTGTTTTACATATTCTTGTATTTTATATGAAATGCATAGGTCTGTATCATGCAAACTATGATTCTTTGATACGTGGCAGAGAGGTGTGCTAGACTCTAGATTAATTTGTACAGCTGCATTTTTCATAGTTTTGCTTTTTTAAAAATGTTCTGAGGCTTTTCCTTCTGTTACATTAAAGATTATATTTCCTTTGTGGTTTTTTTTGTCAAAAACAATGACCATGGCTGTACTTCATAAGCTGAACAAGCAGAGTTTCAGCATTTAAATATTTTTAATTTCTTGTATGTCATAATATTAATAAAATAATGTTAGAAAAACACAATAACTTTTAATATTTGATTCTAGCAATTTCCAGATTCTACTATAGAAGTAGTTTCCAAACTTACTTAACTTAAGAGAATTCATTAACAAAGAATTTTGAACACATTTTCAGAGTACCTTTATAAATCCAACAACTGACTTTTGATTTTGTGATAAAATTTTTTTTTACAGTATTATTCTGAATTGTTAAGTGAAAAGAATGAGATGCTTTTCCTTGACTTTAAGAAAAAGAAATTATTATATTGTCCCACCATGTGGTTGGTTACTGCTATTAAATCTGAATAATTATTTTTTTTGTTAAGATTAATGGGAGGAAAATAGTAATTGTTCTATCATGTGAGTCACAATTTTTGAAATTTTCATTGCAGGATGAGAGATGGAGTAAAACATTTGAACCCAAACTCCAGAAACTTTTAAGTGAGCTTGAAGCTGGCTTGAGTACTGTTCTCAGAAGATCAGATCCTAATTACACAGGAACAAAATTCAGTGAAGATGATGTGCGAGGTCTGTTTTGCAGTTGCGTCTTTTATAGTTAATTTTAAATTAGGAGTAAATAGTTTATTTACCGGTTGAGTTTTCAGTCTTCCATTATCCCAGTGACTGCAGAGTGTGAAATATAACAGGTTGTGGTGAGTAGATTGGAATTAGTGATGATCAGCTCTGGTCTCTTGGTAGGAACTTGATACTACATCTAGTCAGAGTCTGAAGTTAAAGGATAATTACAAAACCATACAGTAAATATTTGCTTTAGAAAGTATGTTCTGACTGAAAATATTTTGTGACCATTCATGTACTTCATATTTAAACATTTTCCATTATTATTTGCAGCTATACTTACACCAACAGATGAATTTCAGTTCTGGATAGAATGTGCTCGTCATGGAAGTAAATGGTGTAGTAAAGAGAGAGCTTCTCATTTTAAAGACCTGTTTGAGGACATTGCAAAAGTATGTTTTCTTTTGTATGATCAGTGATATATTTGTAGGCTTAGTAAAAAATGCTCTTATGAAATATGTCAGTATATGTACAATCTTTTCAAGTATATGAATATGTAACTACTTAGTTATTTTTTTCTTAGGCAAAATTTTACTTTAAATGACTGACATTCGTGTAGTTTCTAGTGACAATGGGAATGCCAGTATTTGATTGGGAGCAGATTTGACCATTGAATACTAGAAGCTGCTGTAGAAATACAACAGTACACTACAGTTCGTGAACTAGAAATTGATTCATGAAATTATAAAAAAGGAAAACTGAAAATGCAGATGATAATAATGAATGCTATCATGCAAAACTTTAGGCACCTGTAAAGTGCTTGCTTGTATAGCGCTTC